GCGGGGGGGGGGGGGGTTAGCCTCGGCGCGGGATACAAAAACGTGTCCGGTCGCTCTGACTCACACCCAAGCGACGCGGCAAGCGGCGTCTTCGGAAGGCGGTGTGGAGAGGCAGGAGACATGCACCCACGAAGCAAGCGCAAGGCGATGCTCCAGTGGGAAAAGACGAGGCCTACGCGTACACAAATAACACCGCACAGAACCCGTTCCCTTTCGTACGTACGTCCTAGGCACCGAAACTCGTGCGTGTGACGCGCGTCATCCTTTCGCCTTCATCACCGCGCGGGCCTGCTTCGCACCTCTCGCGCGCTCACAAATCACGCTTCTATGAAGAGAATCTGACTCTTGTGATCTAAATCGGTAATACACGCCGCGAAAGTGGAAACCCGTCGCCCGTTCAACCACCCGGCGGTAGCCATGGGTGCGGGGATAGCCTCGCGTCGGCGAGAAAAACGCTACCGCTGTCGGGTGGCTTGGGTGCACACGGCTCTCGACGCAACAGCGGTAGCGTGCGCAGGAGAATTTTAAGCAAACGTATTGCACAAAGTATGGAATCGGTGGAATTTCGGGGGGGGGGGGGGTACAGTTTTAGGGCCTAGGTAACCCATCTCTCAATCTCCCAGATAAACTATAACTTCGCCACACCTGATCGTCCTCCGACATGGACACCCGGTACACCGACAGGAGCGGTCGGACGAGGCCCACGCCAACGCCAGTGCCAGCCGCGGTCTCCGTCTCGGGCGGCGGCATCAGGCCTCCGGCAGACACGAGCAGCACGAGGAGCTTCAGGAGCTCGCGGCGGGGAGCGCCCTCCGCTTCGAGGACGCTAAGGAATCCGGAGTGGCCGACAATCCTTTGGACGACGAATAAAGCACGGAAGAAAACAACAACAACGGGGCAAATTTTTGGGGTTTTTAGTCTCCTCGACCGCGGGAGAGTGGTGAGAGAAGCACCATCGTTGCAACTCTGCCGGCTTGAAGTTTGCTGCGAGTGCAACAAGGGGAATTGGTCCTACCCTAACCACGGGGCGGGGGGGGGGGGGGGTCCCCCCCCATTTAATCAAAGGAAGTTGGGTTTGGGGCCCCCCGGGGTCAGGCTCGGGGGGGAGGGTAGGCGGACACGAAAGGGGAGAGGGGGAGAGGTGGGACAGGGAAAGGGGCGGCAACCGAAAGCGCAAGGCCCAACGAAGCAAACCACCGCAGGACCCCAACCGGTTATTCGGGAAGACGCTGACAAGCGTGTGTTTGTTTGAAGTATAGTCCGTGCACAACAGAAAATCCAAAAATTTCCCGGCACAAATGACAACTTTCCTCTGCACACAGGTGGTTGTTCCGACATCTGAAAGTACCGGCAAACGCCCTGTTTCCAGGCGCATGGAGTGACGGAAAGTACAAATGCTAGCATGTGGTGTCCGTAATGTAGAGGGTGAGGGGGGGCTTCGGGGGTACGGTCGGGGGTTCCGTGAATGCAGAGGGGATGTATGTCGTGTTCAGGGGGTTCCGTGTATGATTTTTGTCAAAATTGTTGCATATCGTCAGAACAAACAAAAACTCTGCAGCTATCGACGTATCTCGACGAGGCGGTCACGACCATCGTTGTTTCACTTTCCAATTCTTTTTCAAAAACAAGTTATCGCACAAAACGTGAATGCACAAATTGTTGTGAACGGACCGTAGGTATAACCAGTATTCTTCTTGGGAGCTTTGTCCAAGTTCTCATCATACCCACCATTACCAGCCCCACTTCCATCACATCCACCAACTACCCGTCCCCCGTCCGCCCCCCCCACCCCCCTGCGTTTCTTCCTACCTCTCGATCATCGTTGCGGTCGACCAGCCGGGGAGCAGCGGCGGTACAGCGGCCGCTGACTCCAAACCGGCTTCCGCTTCATCTCCCCCCTTCTTGCTGCTGCGATCGCCCTCCTCCGTTGCCTCAGTACCAGGCAGCGAGGGTTCCGGTTGTCGTTTCCGTCGCTGCGGCTGCTGCCGCCGCCGCTGGTACAGGGTGCACGCAACCGCCCGCACTGCCCGAAGAGAGCCAGGGTCCGCCAGGCGGTGCTTGAGGACGGCGGTCAGGAACGCCTCCACGGCTACGACGGCGGCGTCGACATCACCGCCAGCGGCGGCGGAGTCGCGGCCAAGCCCCAGCAGACGCTCCGCGCGCGGGGATGCCGACGCCGCCGCCGCCGCCGCCGTCGTCGCAGCACCGTCCTCCGCTTCAGCTTCGGAAACAACCCTGACCACCTCGCCGAGCAAGAACTTGCACAGCTCGTCTTCATCCCCTGCCGATTTCGCCGCCGCCGTCTTGTTCTCGCCGGGGGTATCCCCGGTGCCGCCGCCGGGGGCGGCGGCGGCGGCGGCGGCGGCGGCGGCAGCAGCAGCCGAAGCTTTTCTCGCGGCTCGGCCGACCGCCCTGGCGGCCATCGCCGACCGGGCCAAGCAATGTCGCAAGTAGTCCCTCCTCGCCTCTTCCTGCTGCTGCTGTCGTTCCTGGGGGGGCGCCCGCGTTTGGAGCATCTTCGGATGGGAAGCGGCAGAGCGAGGGCCGGAGATAGGTCCTGGCTCGTCGTCGGTATCGCCGGCGGCCTTGTCGAGACCTTGGTTCCCGGGAGGGGATAGCCAGGCGGCGAGGGCTGCCCTGGCGAGGGCGTGAGCCTGGGCGTCCGGCGGGGGCCGCTTGCCTAGCTGCTCGCACGCAGACATGGACCTGTCCATATTTGAGAGCATGCGCAGTCGCACTTGTGTGATGAGCAATAAATGAATCCATCAAGCAAAAAATGAAAAAATCGGTGAATCGTTTGTGTTCTCATTTGAATATATTCGCGGCTTGCGGAGGACGTATGAGGACAGCTCGTACTCATGGCAAGCCCACGCACATGAAACAAACCCAAGGTCCGCCGCAACCCCGTTACTTCCAACACGAAAGTGCAAGCAACAACACTTGTCGCGACAAAAGGGTCATCCCACGAAAAACAGAGTTGTTCACCGACCAAGTGAAGTGAGCTCAGTCATCAAATGTTGACGATGCGACACAACAAAACAAAAAATCAAGGCAAAGTGCTCCACGCAACGTCCGCTCACGTTCGAAGCGCGCGAAGCGCGCCGGCTGCCGCCAAGTTCTCGCTCCCGCGGGAGATCTCCAAGACCGCCCGCAGGCACGAAAGAAACCCCTTCTTGGCCACCTTCGGCGGCCTCGGACCACCAACCGGCTGCTCCGTCCCCTTGGTGCCCACGCGCCCGGCCGCGGCTTCGAACAGCGGGACGATGCACCTAGGCAAGAGCACCTCCTCGAGTTCTGCAAATGCCGCCGCGTGGCCGTTGAGTTTTCCGCGGCGGCTTTCTGCCGCCGCCTTCCACACCGCCCGGCCTCCTCCCCCCCCGCCCCGCCCGACGAACGTCCTTCCATGACCGTAGTCCCCCTTCCCCTCGGCCATGCTGTCTCGCCGGGCACCCCCCCCCGCCGCCGCCGCCTCGGCACCGAACCTCTTTCTTTTCGATCGAACCGTCCCCGAGAAGCCGGAGGGACCCGGGTCCCTTGACGACGCTTCCTCCTCCCCCCCCGTCAAGAACGCCGTTAGCGGCCGGCGGAGCGCCAGAAGGGACGCAATCGCGGAGTCGCTACGCTCGGCGGCGACCACGGCCGCCGCGGCGGCGCCGAGGGAGGCTTGCGCCATCGACAACTCGCCGCCGCCCTTGGTGCCGCCGCCGCCGTGTTGTTTTCTTTCGTCCGCTTTCCGGTCGCACGGGCGGAGGTTGCGCAGGACCGGTAGTACGGCCAGGGCGAAGCGATTGGCATGGCTTGGGCACGAGCGCACCAGCTTTTTGGTCGGCATCCGCGTAGGCACGCCATCGAACGACATACCGATGAAAGCGAGCCCCAGAGAGGGGTGGGAGGGAGGGAGGGAGGGAGGGAGGGAGGAAAAGGGGACAGGGGACAGAGTTACCAAAGAGAGTAGTTTCAGTGACGACCACCGTGTTGCTTCAGCAGACTCGGGGTTTCCCGAAGGGCGAGGCACAAGAACCGCTATTGCCGCTATTGTAGGCAAACGCCAACATCCCGGGAGAGAAAAAAAATCAGCCTCAACAGAAACCCCGTCAGAACTACGTTGGGTTCGTCCAGCCCTGATAAATGCTTCCCTGAACAGCAGTGAAGAAGAAAAAACAAAAGGGAGCGGGCAGAACGAGACAAAAGAAAATTCTTCGCGGACAACAAGGCAAGCACCTCAGCCACACACCCTCGGGCTTCACCGAACCCGACTGGTCACGATCGCTTCACATAGCCGTTGACCAGGCCGATAAGAACGAAAAAAGAAACAAAGACAGCATCCATGAACGAGACTAGGAGCACTCCCGGACTTCTCCTGCACTCTCAAGACCAAACACTTTGGTTCAGCGCGTTCCCGGTCACCTCCTCCAAAATCCTCGCATCCGCTCCATCGCCATCCACACAGCCGCCACCGCTGCCGAAAGCAGAAGACCGCGAGTCCGCATCACCGCCCGTGCCTCCAGCCGCCGTCGTAAGCTTGCCGAAGAAGTGCTGGAAGAAAATCTCGGCATCCAACAGATCAGCCTGTGCCGCCGCCGCTGTATCAGCCGCAACACCTCCAACAACGTCCGAGTTATCTCTAGACGACCTTGCGGTGATGGCGAGGCAGACCAGGCACCCCAGTTCGGGAGAAGGCGACTCCACCTGAAACGACCCGCGGAAAATGATCGATTTGGACACTCGACAACATGTTCACGCCCGAGGAACCGGTATCGAGAGGGAACCGAGCAGGACAAAAACAGAGGGCTCCGGGATACCTGTATTACCTTGTCTCTTGTCCCCCATGCATCCTTCAGACCATAGAAGTAGAACGACAGTCTCCGGTAGAGTGGAACGGCGGCGCTTGCACAACCTCCAAGAGACAGGTAAGTCGGACAAAGTCACATCACGGCGCCCGTAGGATGAAGCGAGTAAAACCCGCGCCGCCATCGTCGAAAAACCCGCCCCACAAAAAAACCGAACCGCACTCTACCATACGCACCCCGCGTCCCATTCACGCCCAAAACAAACGAGCCTTTACCTGCAATCGCACCAAGGCTACCGTAGACTCCGGTCCCAACCCCGCCACCAGCGACGCTCCTCGTTCCTCCACCACCTCCTCCTCTTCACTAGCAACTCCTCCGCCGGCGAGCCCCCTTCTCGGCGACGGGGCCAAGAGCTGTTCGAGCAAGCGCCTCGCAAGAACGTCGGAGGCGCCACCGCGGAGACGTGTGTCGAGGAGGTCGGGGCTGCCGCTAGCGGGCGCCAGGGCCTGTGGACCGGGCGGAGAGGGGGGCCGTGGTCGTTAGCGGCGCAGGTGGGGGGGGGGGGGTTCCACTAAGCACACGTCGAAGGGTTGTAGCGGAGGAAAAAGGCCGGAAGAAACGTTACGGTTACATGAATCCCGGAGGTCGGCATTAACAGCGGGGGACAGGGTGCGATACCTCCTCGTCAGAATACGCATCAAAGGAGAGCGAGAGAACAAAAAAAGAAAAAAAGGGAAAAAACGGTACACGAGAGCCGCGCAAGAGAGAGCGCATCACACCAACGATTATGCTCGCGTCTCCGGCTTAATGGTCGGTGGCGTCACCTTTGTGGTGCTTAGTCTCGACAGCAGCGCGGCCAGCACGCCAGACAAGGCCGCGGAGGAGCAAGAGCCGCGGCACGCGATCTGCGCCTGGGAGAGCCATTGGAGGTGCCGGGAACCGGACGCCACGGCAGATGCGGTAGCCCTGCACCACGCGGCGACAACCGGGAAAGACAAGGAAAGCGGCACAGCACTAGTTGAGGCGACACACGCCGGTAAGCAATCCGCTGTACTTCACCGTCGGCATACACTTCAGTGGTACCGTTTTACAGGTTTTGGCTTTCAGCCAAGGCTGACCAGAGGACGGCTGTTCTCCGCTCCCCAGGAGCGAAAAAAAGGTATTAACGTCGTGAAGCGGCATGCCAGGTGAGACATACGACCTATCAAGACGACAGGCTGCCATTTTCCGCACCAGGTGCGACGGCATGACCATCCCACAAGGATAGCAGCACGCTTCCGCCTGGTGAGACTTTTTATTACCCACCAAGACAGGCAGGTAGGCCAAAACAGACACAAAGGGAGTGACATCGTCAACTTCATCACCTGCACAGTCTCTCCAGGAACGGCGCTGCAGCTCCCGCGACCACGCCCCCCCCCTCCCCCTCCTCCTCCTCCGCTGCCGCCGCTGCTACCACCAAGGCCGAAAGATCACCGCAGGCCACCTCCGAAAGCGACCTCTCTTCGCCTTCCCCTGCCGTCTCCGCCTCGCCCGTGCCGGCGCGTGCGGCGGCGACTTCGGCGGACAGGGGACAGGCCAGGCGCAGCAGGAAAGGGCGGCGGAACACGTTGGCGAGGGCTTCGCGCGCGGCCGAGGAGGAACGAGCCCCCGTTGAGACAAGCTCGAGGCACGCCCCCGCCACAAGCCGTAGTCCCGTCGATAACAACAACGCCTCCTCCATCGTCGCCGTGGAAGATGCCGCCACCGCCGCTGAGTCGAGGGCGAGGCCCAGCCGCGAAACGACCTGCCGCACCGCGGCAACCGCCTCGCCTGGCCCCCCGCCGGCAATCCTACGCGCCAGGACGTCGAACACCCGTCTGTTCGAACAAGGGAGAAGGTGCGTCTTCGAAGTCGACGACGCCTTCGCCGCATCGCTGTCGTCGCTACCGCTGCTGCTGCTGCCGCCGCCCCTGCTGCTGCTGCTACCTAGGATCGTGAAGGCGTCCCCGATAAGCCGGGGCAGGGGTAGGCCCGGGAGCGACAACAACAGCTCAAGCTCGGCCGCATCTGCCCCTCCCACTGCGGTACCTCCTCCTCCTCCTCCAGACCCCGCAACTGGGACCGAAGAAGAAGAAGAAGAAGAAGAATAGGCCACGAGGAGCTTGCGGACGCGGTTGAGCTCGAAGACGCTGAGCCCCGGGTTGTCCGCCAGGGTGGCGGCGAGCCGGGACGCGGACGCGGCTCTCGCCGTCGGCCTCGGCGGGGGCCGCTTTTTGAGCAGCAGGTGCACCGCCGTGTTCCCCGCGGAACGGTCTCCGGACCCGACCACCGCGTCGTTGCAGCCGAACGACCTCGCGATAGAAATGGCCAGGCCTGCCGTGCGCGTTGCAGCAAATAATAACACGCCGGGGGGGAGGGGGGGGGGGGGGGGG